TGCACAAAAAACAAGCCGGGGGGTGGGTGGGAAGGGGCAGCGTGGGAACAATGCGGTTAGGGGGGCGGCGGGGCGCGGGTCGAGGCGGCCTTTGGCGCGCCCGAGGTGGCCGCGCGGGGAAAACGTGCCCCCGCCGTCTGCTGCTGGGCTGGCGCGGCTCACCGCCTCCCTCCCCGGCCAGCAGCCATCGCCGGGCGCATCACGTGGCGCCCGCTTGTTGCTGGAATGATGGTCATAGCCATAGCAACAACCCGACGTGAGAGCAAAAGAGCTCTTCCCCCCCCCCGGCCCCCTTTCTTTTTGCGCGCTCGCGGAAGGCGGAGGGGAAAGAGCTGCGGGGTTCTCTCTCTCTCTCTCTCTCTCCCTTCGCCGGTGGGAAAAAGCAGAGAGGCCGCATTGCTCTCTGCAAGGGAAGGAGGCGGCGGTCATACTTCACATGCACACACTTCTCCTGGGGCTGCGTCCAGAGCTCCTTGGAGAGTGCGCGGCGCAAGTGCATTTGCCTGCACAATCCTATCCAGTGGGCCCTTTGAGAGACGAACAAAATCCGGGCCGGCACAAGTTTCCCGTGAGTCAGCGTTCTCACGGACCCAGATTCTTCTTGCGAGGTGGACAAGGCCATCCGGTTGCGAATAAGGGCTAGAGCGCAAGTACAGCCACCACCCCCTATATGGGGTGGTGGTACAGCGCGGCATCCATCGATGGGCGGAGGTAGCCCGCCCGCCAGTATGCACCCAGCCACTGTCGGCAGTGGATTTGAGGCTGAATTATGGGCAGCACAAGAGGCCTAAGAGGTCAGGTTTAGGGTTGCCAACTCTGGGGTCAGAATTACCTGGAGATTTGTGGGTGGAGCCTGGGAGAGAGGTTTAGGGAGCGGAGGAACCTTGATAGGGTGTAATGCAGTGCAGTCCGCCTTCCAAAGCAGCCGTTTCCCCAAGAGAGGTGGGATAAATGTTTTAAATAAGCGATTTGTGTAGTCTCGAGATCAGTTGTGATTACAGATCTCCAGCCCAAACCTGGGGCTTGCCAACCCTAGTCAGACACCACCCCCACCACCCTTCTGTACTGAAGCCTTAGTTCAGTATCATTCCAGAGAATGAGGGGATCCGATGTGGAGACCTCAGAATAGACTGGGTGGATTGACTTTGAATACATTTTCCCATAAAAGCAAACTCTATGCAAATAGAGAACACCTCGACCTCCTTGGTTCGCCTGTTGTGCCGGCTCTCCACTAGTTGAGAGGGATGGCAAAATTTTAACTGGGGACTGCCCACTTACACCAATGCTTATTGTTAAGTCCTGAGCTTAACAAAGAGTCAGAGAGTGATTTCAGCCAAAACTCAAGTTTATTCTCCCACACGATCACTTCTCCAACACGGTACAACATCTGATAGCCCGAACAGCTTTGCCCATTGAAACTGCTCGGTATTTAAACATTCCCGGCTAATATAGCCACTCCTACTTTACAGATAACAACCTATCAGGTTGATCGCATAAGGACCGATCACACATGTTCCCGCTTCCAGCTTGCTTGAATGTGATTGGACGCATTTGTCTTGGACTTTAATCCCTGTCCAAGACGAAGCTTTACATTGCTTTCCAATGAGATGTTTCACGTTACATCTAATGCATTCATGGCAGCATCTGAATACATTACACTTATACTTCCAGAGAAAAGTTGCCAACCTCCAGTTGGTGGCTGGAGATTTCCTGAGATTACACTGATCTCTGGGCGATCAGAGGTCAGCTCACCTGGAGAAAATGGCTGCTCTGGAAGGCAGACAATATGGCGTCGAAGTCCCTCCCCTCCTCAACCCCCCCCTCAAGCTTCCCCCCCCAAAACTCTAAATATCTCCTAACCTGGAGCTGGCAATTCCAGCAGGTAGAACTATGTTGGGTAAGATATAAACAGATGCCCTGCTGCACCTTAAAGACTAACAGGTTTTTGTTCTACCAAAAGCCATCTTGGACTAAAGGTCAACATGGGTTCTGACGGACAAAAACATCTGCCACAGTGACAAAATTTGCCAGCTGTTTCTCATAGTTATGGTATTGTTAGTATAAACTTCAGCAGGGATACGCAGAAGTACGTTCCACTGAATTCAATGGGACTTACTCCCGAATAAATGCTTAGCATTGGCAGCCTCAATTTCCTAATGTTCTGAGTAGGTATTAGCAGGAAAGAACATTTAAAGAGACTCAAGCAGAATTTCAGAAACACGGTATTTAAAGATCCAGTGATGTAAAAAGATTTAAACTTGTCTATTTTCACATTGGCCGGAGCTGCCTGGATCTGACACAAGGATCACTCAAGATTCCAGAGAAACATGAAGTTTCACATCTTCCGAGAGACTTTGATCTAGCCATATGAAAGCCCCTATTTCTCGCATCTGTTCCGCAAACCTACTACAGACAAAAGATCAGTCATATCTCCCATTTAAACTTCGTTGTTGTTCAGTTGAACAGTTGAGTCCGACTCCCTTGTAAACCCATAAATGGAAGATTTTGATTCAATAGTTGTTAATCTGAGCTAAAAAAAACCCCAAAACATCATGATTTGCACGTGCATTTTAAGATTTAAAACAAAATACTACAGGACTGCATTTAGAAGAGGCAAGGGAGTGTGGATATTCTGGAAATGACATGGCACCCAACCATGTTCCAAAAACTGAGGGGCAGATTGCCCCCCAACTCTCACTACACACCCTTCCTGTGCTGCTCCTGTGGGTCCCCTGACCCCAGGGCCAAAATGTCAGAGGGCTCTATCAGGTTGCTGCAAGACAAAGAAGAGTTGATTTTATATCCCACCCTTCACTACCCAAAGGAGTTTTGGAGTGGTTTAGTCACCTTTTAGCCTTTTGATACTGTCCATGGGGTTTTCTTGGCAAAAATACTGGAGTGGGTTGCCCTTCCTCTCCCCACAGCAGACACCCTGTGAGGTACGTGGGGCTGAGAGAGCTCTGAGAGAGCTGTGACTGACCCAAGGTCACCCAGCTGGCTTCATGTGGAGTGGGGAATGGTGTCCCCTCTAAGCTGAGTTAGTGTAAGCTAGCTCACAGTTTTTTTAACCTCTGGGTGTGGGAGGTAAATAGCCTTGCTTGGTAAAATAATACCCCATCAAGCCTCTATTAAAGGGGCAGGAGATTTTTCTCCAAGCCGTTGGTAACCCAGTTCCCCTGCCTGTGTCCACACATAAGAACATAAGAGAAGCCAGTATTGGATCAGACCAATGGCCCATCCAGTCCAGCACTCTGTCACACAGTGGCCAAAAATACCAGGTGCCATCAGGAGATCCAGCAGTCCCAAAGCCCCAAGAGATAAGACAAGCCATGTTGGATCAGGCCAGTGGCCCACCCAGTCCAATACCCTGTGTCACAGACTGGCCAAAACCCAGGGGCCATCAGGAGGTCCACCAGCGGGACCAGAACTCCAGAAGCCCTCCCACTGTTGCCCCCCCCAACACTAAGAATACAGAGCATCACTTGCCCCAGACTGAGAGTTCCTATCTATACCTTGTGGCTAAAAGCCACCAATGGACCTCTGCTCTATGTTTATCCAGTTCCCTCTTGAAGCCCTCCATGCTTGTAGCCACCGCCATCGGCAGTGAATTCCACGTGTTAATCACTCTTTGGGTGAAGAAGTACTACCATTTATGTGTTCTAACCCGACTGCTCAGCAAGGCTCTGTTCAAAGGGACAGGGCATTGTGCTCCGCCTCTGTTGGTAGCCTTATTTCTTACAGAATAAGGAGAACCAACCTCTGCCCAGCTGTGGTTTGGGCACAGGCTCCACCCACCAGTGCAGAGGACAGAGGGCATCCCAGCTGTTTCAGGCCAGCATTTCTTTACAGAATTAAATGCTGCCTCATCTAGACAGTAGAACCTTAAAGTCCAGTAGCACCATAAAGACTAACAAAATTTGTGGTAGGGTAGGAGCTTTCGTGAGTCACTGCTCACTTCTTCAGATACAGATGGAATGTGAGTCCATCTGTCCTATATATTGGGAAAGTGGAGTGGTTTCAGATGCCAAATGACATTAGCATCAGGTAGCCCTAGGATTCCACTGAAGCTATTGAGCTGTGCCTATGTTATTTTGGAGATCGGGTCCCGTTTTACCAGCCGCTGTTGAAGATCACGGAAACATCTTGATTTATACCTGGGAGAGACATACAGCTGTCATTCTTTCCGCAGTGGGCGTCTTCTGCTGCAAGTTACTTTCTGTTTGGAGGTCTATGGACACTATCTATGTATGGAATGACAGAGGAGCCTACTGTTGGTTCTGAACATGTTCTTTTTGAAAAAACGGCTTAATCGTCATGAGCAATCTGTTGGATAAGTGTCTACACATCCTATTGGGTTATGACCACTAACGCTGCTTGGTATCTCAGTGAATGCAATATAGAGTTTTGAGCACATATAGTTGTGAATTGTGGATGGTCTTCCCTTGGTGGGTGTTGTTTGTGGAATGACATCAGCAATCAAATGACAACAGCAGGCGTGATTGGATTAGGTGTGATATGCAGAGAGGGAGTTAGCGCTTGCCTGCTAATGCCTTTAAGGTGCTACTGGACTGGTACTCTTTTCTTCTGCTCAAGACAGACGAATATAGCTACCCATCTTGATCTCTGTCTAGACAGTACAGGAATTTTCGTGCTCAAGGTCTCTGGCGCCTTAACGCTGGGCATTTAATTAAGCTAGGATGAGCCTCCGGTAGAAGGCTCCATCGGCATTTTCCCCTTTGCTTCCACGGCACTGTGCTCACTCTGCAGAGATGTAAAGAGGCGAGAAGAGACTCTTATTCCTCCCCCTAAACACGAGGCTCCTTTTCGCCAGCCTCCCGCAGGAAAACCTGAGAAGCAGAGAGCCCAGGTGTTTTGCACACAGACCGACACCTCTGGTTCAATAATTTATTTCTATTGGTACAGAGCAAACTGGAAATACACAACATCTCATACAATAAGAAACACTAGAGAAAGAGAGAGAGAGAGAGAGAAGGGCCAAATGTCGGGTAGCCCCCAGAGGCAGAAGCATGTTTCCATGGCACAGGCTTTATTGCATCGAGAGGAATGGCATCTGTCCCAGAAGAACCACAAGGGGGACAGAGGAGTGTGGACCGTGAACGGTACTGATGCGACCCTTTGGTGCCAGGACCAGAGCAGCACCATCAAGCAGCAATGGGGGGAGGGGGGGGAAACCACCTAGGAGTGCTGCCAGAGCGCTCCCCCCCCCTTACAAGGATAACCGCTGCCCCGTGGCACACCAGACCAATGTACCAGGTAGGCAGGAGTGACTGGAATGTGTTCATTTTTCCTCCCGTGTGCCCTGAAGGTGCCTCGGCGTGTGGGGCCTTTGAGGAGGCTTGCTCTGCTGAGCACTGTGGCTACTGTGCGACGTCCTCCTCATGTGGCTCGGCCTATAACGAAAGGGCCCAGAGAGCCCCTCTGCAAGCCACTGATCTCCCACTCCTTAGCGGCTTCTTATGTGCTGAGAGAGACGGGGAATGCTAGCTCTGTCTTGCCTTTCACTCACAGCAGCATGGCCACAGGGCGTGCCTGAAAGATGGGCATCATGTCCCTCGCAGGGGCCTTTCTATTCCCCTGCAAAAGAAACCTTAAATTATAACCTAGGGCAGGGCTTGTACTTCCAGCCTCTGCCAAAAACTTTGGAATAGGATGGCGATCTTTGGGTGGGGCCAGGGAGAGACACAGACTCCTGGCTATGGAGCAGAGCTATCCCACCCATCCAAGTTACAGAGAGCAGAATAATCCTCTCTCCCTCCCTGCCGAGAGAGAGAGACCGGCAAGGCCCTCTCACTAGGTCAGAGTTTAAGAACCGCCCAGGAACCAAATCCCACCCGCCTGTTGTAGCAGCCCTGAATAGGTGCACAACCTCCACCTGATAGATATGGAGGGGATATTATAGCACAGGATGTCCAAATAAAAGCTTTCGCAGATATTGGACCCACCCAAGGAGCAGAATGTGGGAGAGGTTTTTAAAAAGCCACAGTGTAAGAGGGGGGGAGAACCCAATGGGGACTGAAGTACATTGTCAAGCCCTTCAGATGGTTGATAGAAGGGAAGGTTTATTATCAACAAGGGTACTCTGCAACGACCTAAACCTTCTATAAGGGGGGGGGGCACTGTAAAGACCCTCACCACAGGAGTGAAGAGAAGAGGTAAAGAATTTGCACAGAGGCATTGACATCAGTAGGTAGCGCTGCTGGCTATCCCCAGGGTAAAAAGAATATACCGTCAGGCACCCTGCTGGAAACCGATTGTGCAGACGGAGAAGATTGCACTCATCCCCCTTCTTCCGAAGGCACACGACTTAGAATTCTTATTGCATATTATTCTGTCCTGGAATAAAGATACCAGCTAACCCTGTGTGTGAGTTTTTAAGATCCCGCTCTAACCAGAGTCATTGACTATTGTTGTCACAAGTCCATTCTAGGGGACAGAGAACGCCTGGCCTCGTTTCTCCCACCAGGAAACAGAAGAAAGCTGCCTCCAGAGAGCTATCAAGTAGCTCCGAATAGCTGACCGTTCCCAAGAAAAGATCAACGTTTAAGGCACTTGATTTGGCAGCTGTCCCCCTGGGCCAGCCACAATGGGGCTCTCATCTGAGGACTCTCCTGCTCACCCAAACAGCAGGGGGGGAAACCATCCCTCTTACTGAGAACTTGGGGGGCAGAGTGGCAGGGGAGAACTACGGGGAGGGGGCAGGAAAGCCTTTGATCCTTGGTGGCAGCCACTGCACAGCCCGTTAAGCAAACACGTTGGTGACAAAGTCCAGAAAGCGCTTGGCGTATTGGTCTGGGTGCACCGTGGAGATCTCTGCACCAGCCTGTAAGGAAAGACACACAAAAAGAAGAGTTAACCACCATGATTTGTAAGGCAGGCAGTGGCTGGTGGACCAAAGATACTGAAGGGAGGGGACAGGGCAATAAAAGAGAGAATCCAGTTCCATGTCTGCAAGCAGCCATGATCAATCACTTTCACTAAATCTAAAGTCAGGTGGGTACCAATGTTTCCTCTAAGCTGTCGACTGTTGTGAGCAAAAATTCTACTTCATGAGCCAAAAAATCTACGAGCATAAAAGTTGTGAGAAAGCCTAATTTTTTTAAAAAAAAACTCCAGTTTCGAAATGGAAAGAAAGAAAGTGAAAGAGAAGGAAAGGGAAACAAAGAAATGGAAAGGAAGAAAAAGGGAGAGAAAAATGGAAAGAGGGAGAGAAAGAAATGGAAATAAATTGAAAGGAAAGGAAAAAGTGGAAAGAAATGTAAAGTAAGGGAAAGAAAGAAATGGAAAAAATTGAAAGGGAGAGAAAGAAAAAGGGAAAGTAATAGAAGGAAAAAGGAAAGAAATGGAAAGAAAGAAACAGAAAGGGAAAGAAATGGAAAGAGAGGGAAAGAAAGAAAGGGAAGTAAGGAAGAGAAAGGGAGAAAGAAATGGAAAGGGAGAGAAAGAAAGGGGGGAAAGGAAAGAAAAATGTTAAGAAAGAAAGACAGAAAGAAAGAAAGCCATGTAATGGTAGAAAGTAGGCTTGGAGAAGGCAGGCACTTAAAGGCACAGTCCTGCCTTCTCCTCCAAACCCACTCCTCGGTCCAGTGCGCTGAGATGAAAACCTGTGCGTTGGGGGTCAGAAAGTGGTGCGCTAGCACAGGCTGGCGAACCTTAGGTAGAACCCTGGGGGTACCTGTGCCCAACTTTGTTGGTCTTAAAGGTGCCACTGAACTCAAACTCCATTCTCCCATCTATTTGTTAACTCTTATTATCTGTATGCTAATTTGCTGCTATTCACAGGCCTTACCAACTGTTTTAATCCCGTCTTAGCTATACTTATTGCTCAGTTACTTTTGCATCTTGACTCTAATTAGCCCTTCCTGGCAACTAACTCCCCCCCCAACCTTCTCTCTACCTATATGTGATGGTTGAGAAGTCTTGTTTCAATGTATCTGAAGGAGTGTGCCTGCACATGAAAAGCTTATACCCAGAATTAAACTTCATTGGTCTTAAAAGGCGCCACTGGACTCAAATGTCGTTCTTTTACTGAAAGCATGGGACCCCAGAACCCATTGTGTGATTCCTATTTTCATGCCCCCCTCCCCATTTACAGCCCTTGCCACTTTACTTGCCATGAGATGAGCTTGTGGTGATAGGAAACAAGAGGGATGGAGCCAACTGTGAAATAGTCATCAGCTATATTTCCATTACATTATTTGGGTCTTCTGCAGTTACCCTACTACCATTCCAGTGTGATGATTTAAATACGGGCAGGAGGGACATGCCACCTCCCGTGACTTGCTGACCGTGAACCGCGCAGCTCTCGCACGCGCATTGGCTGCCAGTGTCCCCACCTTGGCTGTCGTCATTCCTGGATGGCAGGAACGACTGCAGAAACAGGGCAGGCAAGACAGAGGAATTGGCAGCCACTATCATCCTCAGGAAAATGGGATGGGAACTGTGGGTGTGATGCTGGATGCAAGCCACCTAGTTTTATTTTATGATATGCCTCGTTTCTCCTGGGGCCCTGGCTGTCTTACAATTCCAAGATTAAACACCTGGGTGTGTGAAGTGTGGTCAAGCCGCAGCCGATTTATGGCAACCCCACAGGGCTTTCGAGGCAAAAAACCCCCAACAGAGGTGTTAGTTTTCCTTCCTCTGCAGAGTGACCCTGGATTTCTTTGGTGGTCTCCCATCCAGCTACTAACCAACCCTACTTACCTTCCAAGTTCTGACAAGATCAGGCAAGCCTGGACCATCCCACTAATAGTTAAATGCCACAAAACCCGTTAACCTCCCCTGCCCAATGAGGACCAGGGGGCTCCTTCCTCGCATGAAAGATGCTCTCGCAGAGAAAAGGTGCCGGCCGGACTCACCCCGTGCTTGACTGTCTTGGCTGCGTGGGCAGCCTTCTTCTTGGCGTCGTACTGGGTGAGGATGTCGATCAGTCCCATGAAATAAACTTCCTTCTGTGGGCTGTCTGGAAAAGTAGAAAGGGAGCTGAAGAGCGACCGGGGGGGGGGGGGGGGTCTGCCTGCGACACGCCCTTGCAGTTCATCGACAGTCTGCATCCCCAAAACAACAAATGCTTCGCTTGCCTTGTGCTCAAAGAGCTGAATCTTTTTTGATTACAAAGCCCTTAGGGCCAGAAAGAGCCAGATCACCAGCAGACCAAAGTCCGTAGCCTCCCAGTCACACAATCCGGGCCACACAGAGCCATCAGCAGGGATAAAAAGGATGTCCTGCACCAAGAAGCGGTTTATGAAGTGGGCAAACAACCAAGTGGCTCTGCAATCAACAACCAAGGCACATGCTCCGAAGGAAGAACAAATACCCATCAGGATCTTTAACCAATTTGATCTAAAATCCCATATGTGACCCCCCCCCAACCATTCTGGACTTATTAATCACATGCAATCATATTCTGCACACTTATTCCCATTTTACAGATTAAGTAGCCATCACCAGCAGACCAAAGTCTGTAGCCTCCCAGTCACACAATCCGGGCCACACAGAGCCATCAGCAGGGATAAAAAGGATGTCCTGCACCAAGAAGCAGTTTATGAAGTGGGCAAACAACCAAGTGGCTCCGCAATCATCAACCAAGGCCCATGCTCCAAAGGAAGAACAAATACCCATCAGGACCTTTAACCAATTTGATCTAAAATCCCATGTGTGACCCCCCCCCCAACCATTCCGGACTTATTAATCACATGCAATCATGTTCTGCACACTTATTCCCATTTTACAGATTAAGTAGCCAGAGGCACCACATAGAAGAAGCCCACACAAAGGAAGTGGAACAACAGTCCTTGCCGCCGGCCCTCTGCTATGATCAAACAAACCTAGCACGTCTCTCCCAGAAGCCAACAAGTGCCTCTGACTGTGACTACAGACAAGATCGTGGGAACCACGTCTGAGCCAGTGCGGTGTAGTGGACAGAGCAGTGGACTAGGACCCTGACTGACCAGGGTTCAAATCCCCACTTCTGCTGTGAAAGCTTGCCGGGTGACGTTGGGCCTGTCACAATCTCTCAGCCTGGCTTTCCTTACAGGGCTGTTATTGTGGGAAAACAGAGGCCGGGGGTGGGTGGGGTGAAGTTCCAGAAATGCTTTGAGTCCAAAATGGGAAGAAAAGCGGGATATAAATAAACATATTGTCCTCTGCCAAATTTCAAATCATCCCAGATTCGGCCATCAAAATGATACAAGCTAAGCACTTGCACGTCTCTTCCTCGTTTTGTGATTTAATCGGCATTTAGAAACCAGATTTAAAGGAGGAAGGGGCAGTGCCCTGAAGGAATGCCAGCCTTGATTCAGTGGGCATCTTGGGGAATCTTAGATGCCCAGTTCATCGCGGCAAGAGTCTGCTCTACAGTAATTGGGATGTAATGAGCCATAGGCATTAACGGCCACACATTCCTTAGACGTTTTCCAATCTTCCACTGAATGTCACCGGCTTCTGTGTGACCTTTTCAGACACCCAGAGCACCCCCTCTGGCATTTAAGCCATCATCATTGGGATGTGTGCTTGATACAGACGCTGGAACATAATAAAAGCCAATGTTGGATCAGGCCAAAGGCCCATCCAGTCCAACACTCTGTCACACAGTGACCAAAAATACCAGGTGCCATCAGGAGGCCCACCAGTGGGGCCAGGACACTAGAAGCCCTCCCACTGTTGCCTCCCTCAGCACCAAGCATACAGAGTATCACATGCACCAGACTGAGAGTTCCTATCTATTCCTTGTGGCTAATAGCCCCTGATGGACCTCTGCTCCATATGCTTATCTAATTCCCTTTTGAAGCCGTCCATGCTTGTAGCCACCACCTCCTCCTGTGGCAGTGAATTCCATGTGTTAATCACTCTTTGGGTGAAGAAGGACTTCCTTTTATCTGTTCTAACCCGACTGCTCAGCAATTTCATTGAGGGGAGGGCTAATCCTGCTCTTCCCACCCTTATTCTCCCAGGGAAGTGACACAGGACTGGATGCAAGCATCAAGAAGGGGAGGGGCTGTGGCTTAGTGGCAGGGCATCTGCTCGGCATGCAGAAGGTCCCAGGTTCAGTCCCCGGCATCTCCAGGCTGAAGCAACCAAGCAGGAGGTGATGTGAGAGACCTCTGCCCGAGACCCTGGAAAGCAGCCACCAGTCAAAGAAGACAGTACTGAACTTGATGGTCTGATTCAGCAGAAGGCAGCTTCATGAGTGTTCAGTGGACAAACGCATACTCGGCTCAAGCTAAAAGCCAGGGCCCTCAATAAAACCCAAGGCGGACAAACCCAGCCTCCAATTGCCAAGGCCATTTTCTTTCCCAGCTAACTCTCCACAAGGACTGGTTTTCTCTATAACTGACAGTGGACCCAAGCAAAGGCCTTTGGTTAAATATGGCCATGGGTGTAAAAGAAAGGGGGGGCCCCCCACAGGGTAGGACTCTCACGCATTATCGGAAAGGGGGGGCCACAGGGTAGGACTCTCACGCATTATCGCAATTAGTCATCCAGCGGTCCTGTCTCACGAATCAAAGTTCTCCGGGTGAAGGCTCCCTTGCGCCCCAACTTACTTTCGGCACTCTTGATGGCGTAAACGTCAACATAAGGGTCAAAGTCGCCAGGCCCCAGAGGCTTGTGGGAGTTGAGATAGCTGCCGATGCCCTCTGGAGATGTCCCGTAGGATCCCACCGAGGCCACGCCCCCAGGCTCTCCCTCGCCGTCCTCGTCTTCCTCTTTCACTTCCTCGTCTTCCTCTTGCTCAGCTCGTGCCACGTCGTGGATCCCCAAGAGCAGGCTGTAGTCCATGATCTTCAGCTGCACGAGGAACTGAATGCGTGGACACAACAGTCAGGTAGCTGGGACGTTAAGGACTGCCTTGCTTCCTAGCTGTTGATTTCAAGTGGTTTATTCTAAAATTAGACCTCTTACCTGCGTACCCCTGCACAAATGGCAAACAGGTCCCCCCACCCCTCTGCACTACCTTCAGCACAGCTGGAATGCTTTTTAACATTCTATGACACTGGAGCAGCGCGGCCAATGGCTGCAGCGGGAAAGGGCTGATTTCATTAAGAGGCTTCCCGCCACCTTTGATATCACAGCATCTCCACCAATAGTTAGGGCTTGCTCAAACCAGAAAGAGATAAGACAGCCTCCATTTCAGCTAGTCGGTTTTACCTCCAGATCTCAGCTTTTAACAGCACCTGGCAAGCTACATTTCTGAAAACCTGCCTGTTCTGTGCTTTAAGTGGGCATTGCATCAATCTCCATGCAATCATGATGATAAGCACCTTGAAATAGCATCTGGAGAGAACTTCCAAGTTTGGAAACGGGAATTACAACCGTTTTTTTTTTTTTTAAGCTGTAAAAGGAGACTGGTTCATTTCAAACAAATGAGTCTCAGATCGATGCCTCTTACTTGAAGAAACCTGGTGGGCGGGTGGACAAGGTTAGCTGTGATTACTGTACATGCTCGGTGGCACCTCTGCCAATTTACATGATCCAGGAGTCAGAGCCAAGGAGCCCTTTCCAAATTAAAGTCCATAATACCACATTTTAGTTTATCCTCAAAATAAACTTGGATACAGGCATTCAAGACTGCCCAAAGGTAGGCTGGTGAGCTTCCTGGCTGAACAGGATATCTGAATCGAGTCATATCCAGACCAAACACACTTGCCACCCTCCAGGGTCACGGTCGCGTCTTCTGCAGCCTGGCCTTGCAGTTAAAGCACGTGCCAATCCTCAGATGATGCCTATTCCAGACTCTGAAATGACTCAGTTCATCTAATGGCAGTGACCAGACTCATCTAACAGATGATCTATAACATTGCATAGAATTAAGCGGTAGGAAGAGGGGACTGTACCACTTCAGAGAGCTGGGGGGGGGATGTTCTTGAATGTTCCCCGTTTTTTAATTAAAAACCCTCTGCGTGTAATGAATCAGCATATCAGCCAAACATGCCCTGCATAGCCTTTTCCTCTACATTCTTGCTTAAGAGGCTGGGAAGGGGCTTTACACAACAGCCTGTTAAAAAATGTGATACTCTACCATCTGCAGTGGTACAGTCCACAATCTACCACCTTATCCTTGGTAGTGTGAGGAACAGAACTTAGGACGGGGATAGCAATCCCATTTCCTTCACTCTGAACTCCCTTACTGCAGAAGAAACCACCACACTTAATTACTTTGATTAGAAACAGAATTTTTGATGTGCAAGCTTAACTACGACCAGAAAGTGCCATCCTAAACTGAGTGACATCCTCTTACAGACCATTGACTTCTGCCCCAAGACCCTTACAGACCCAGCATGGAGGAGCTAATCAATTAACACACAATTAAAGAACTGATCCCCCCCCCAGCTCCCCTTAAGCGAAGGCATGGTAAGGGGCTAGCATCAAATTATTTTGCACGGGAATTCAGCTAGTAGACTGCAACGGCAGGAAAAAAACAGAGCAGTATTTATTCTGGATTAATCAAGAATAATAAAGGCAGCTGGGCTTGTCTTGAAGAGGGAGTCCAGTTTGGATCTGAAGGCGGCATATGTGTGTTTTATTTGGAGGGAGGGGAACCTACCCCCCCCTCTCTTGGCAAGCTTGCCCCAGTGATTAATTGCCTCGGCTGTTCAAAGCTGTGTACCTCATTTCTATCAGGAACGAGGCCAGCTTCAAATCCCAGACTTGAGTCCTTGTTCTACCTCCCCTCCCTGGATTCGAAGAACTGTTATTAATCAGTATTTCTTTTGTCGGGCTGCGGAGATCTGGCACCGCATCACAACTGCTCCGGCATCGCACAAAACCGGGCACTGGCACCCCAAGGAAGCGGCAAGAGTCATGCCAAAGGGATGTGACTGGCACTGGGAGGGCAGCTAACCAGCCTTCCCTGAGCCCAGAAGCAGGGCTGAAGGGACCTGACCAACTATGCTCTATGATCTAAGGTCCTGTTCCCCTGGACAATGGTTCCCTTTAAAAAACAAAACAAACCACCTAAAGCTGTCGTTCCCTTCCTCAGTGAGAGAACCAAGGAGGGAAGAAGTTTATTTGCACTCCTCCTACGCATTTATATTAATACACAGCATTTGTATCGCAAACAGCTTTAGAGGTTTTAAAGCACTTTGTCATGGTCCTCCCATAAGCTTGATTAGCACTCCTCCTGTATTACAGACTGGGGGGGGGGGAAGAGGGCTGGGAAACCTCTTTTTGCTGATTGAAGGGGGAGTAGCTGAGCTTTTGTTTCTCCTCTGCTTGCAGGTATGTCGCCTGGGCAAGGCCAGAGGCGTGAACCCCAACGGCAAGAGCCTGAGTGCTCTTGACCCTTCAGGTCTTCCTCTCCATGCCCCCAAGCAAGCGAGTCAGCTGAAACCAGTACCAGCCCAGGAACAATGTATTGTACATGTTCTCATTCGTTTAAATTGTATTTTTTGCATTTATTCTCCAAATCAGTCACTGAGCAGGGAGAGAAACAGAAGGATACAAATGCCTAATTAGAGGAGAATAATGACAGGGCAGGATGCTGCAGCCGAGAGATGGTGGGTTACACCAAAAGTCTCCTTGTGAACGGGTACCAGAGATGGAACTTGAAGGTGGAGACTTCCTGACTCACACATTCCTAAATCCAGGGGTCATTTCGTAGAAAGAGAGGTGCAGGAGCTCATTAGCACAACTCATTAGCACAACTCATTTGCATAGGCCACACCCCCTGATATCTCCCTTCCCTTCGCCTCCAGGCAAAGGGGGGGGAGGAGGATCTCAGGCACTTCTGCCTAACAAAAGTGGGCCAGGGAAGGCGGGGGGGGGGGC